TCAATAAACAGTACGTGTTCAGTCACGTATTTATTATAGAGGTTGACAGATATGAACTCCAGATAGGAAATGACGAGAAAGAGGGTACAAAGCCATCATTGAATTTCTTGATAGAGTCGACTTGTTGAAGAGGCAATATGTATTTTTTTGATTCCCCTTTCCAGCAAGATTACTCACCTTTACATAATCTGAGAATACTCTGTATAGCTCTTTCAGGAAATGCAATGTACTTTGCAATTCTGTTTGTATTTTTATGCTTTAAATTTTTTAAGTATCTGTTCTACTAATTAAACAGTAAACTGTACAAAAATGATGACTGTGCCTGTTTTCTTCTCTGCCTTTTAATCCCAGAAATTACAATAGTACATGACGCAGAGTAAATGCTAAATAAATAATTTTGGATGGATTTTAAAAATTATTTTTTTCTACATTACAATTGTTTCATTGAATCAATCAGCCATTTGGCAAATAATCAATTAAAGATCATGATATATATTGAATAGAGATATACTATATCCAGCATTGTTAGTGTGGAGGGAAAAGCCAGAAATCCTTCTTCAATGTCTGTAGATAGAGGTGTTATTTTATTTTTGCAAAATAATATGGAATACTAACTATACTGATAGTATGGAGTTCAGAAACTTTGACTATTACTTTTATTTACATATGGTTCAGCTCTCCTGCTAAGAACCTCCATTCTTGGGGTTACTGACTAAAAAAAGCCACATGATCTACTGAAGAGTGTATAGTATTTATAGTCTGATGATCCTGTGACAGTGCCAGGCACTCAAACTTAGGGTATTATTCCATAGCACTGATCTTCATCTTCTTAATTAATAAAACAAGCATGCTGAAAGCAGCAACATTGCACTAATTGCACAGCATAACTGTAAAAATCCTAGATCCGTGCATAATAGGTGCTCAATAAACACTAACTCAAGCCCTCACTTGGTCACATATCTCAAAAACCTCCCTTGGGAGCTTCACTCCCTATATCGCAGAATGAGTTCCCAGAGGAAAAAACTTCCTACAGATAACAACTGTAACTCTGGACAGAATTGAAAAAAAAAGAAGGAAAGCCCCTCAGGCTCTGCAGAGTGAACAAAGGTATGCAGATTTTTGAGTGAAACAAAAGTTGAAAGAAGAGTCCAACACAGGCAGAGTAGTCTGTCACTGCAGGTTTGGATTAAGTGAGGGCCACTGTCCCACTGTGCTGCAGGGCAGCTGAATCCCTGCTAGAAAAAGTATTATCTTTGGGAGTGAGGGGGGAATTCCAGAAAGGAGAGGAGAAGATAGGGAATAGCGCTCCAAGTTCTGTGGCTAAACTCTGCCTAAGCCTCCCTTTGTCTCCTGAACCACATGCTGATACTTCGAAAAAGTCAACCAAATTAGTATACCCCTAGCCCTGTCAAGAATGATGGAATTATCCTTCCAGATTACTCAAACGTTAACATGATAATCAGACAATATTTTGAACAAATTTATGTCAACAAGTTTGACAACTTAGATGAAATGGACAAATTCCTTTAGAAACTCAACATACAAAATTGATACAAGATGAAACAGAAAATCTGGATAGCCTTATGTGTAGTGAAGAAATTCAATTTGCTATTAAAAAAATGTTACCAAGAAAATGCCAGCCCTAGATTTTTTTAAGACAGATGGTGAATTCCATCCAGCATTCAAGGAACAAATAACCCCAATCTTACACATAAACATTCAGAATATAGAGGAGAAGGAACTTCCAAATTCATTTGATAAAGCAAACATAACACTAATAGCCAAAGCTTGACAAAAACATTTTTATAAAAGAGAATTACAAACTGACAATCTTCAAGAACACATGTGCAAAAATCTTAAGAAAATACTAGCAAACTAAATCCAACAATACATTAAGATGATAGCATATTGTGATCAAATAGTTTGTCCCAGAAAAACACAATTGGAATAATATTTGAAAAATCAGTTATGATAATTCACCATATTAGCAGAAGAATAACCAGAGAATCATGACAGCAGATGCAGAAAAAGTATTTGATACATATCAATACCCAATATCCATTGACAATACAAACCTTCAAAAAGTTAGTTACAGAAGAAACTTATTCCATTGGATAAAGGGATGCATAGAAAAACCTTATAGCTAACATCAAAATTAATGGTTTTACATTAAATTTTTCCAATAATATTAGAAAAAAGACAAAAATGTTTACTGCCATCATGTCTATTGAATAATTTCCCAGAATTCCAAGCCCTTCCAATAAGTTAAGAAAAAGAAATAAACATCACAAAGATTGGAAAGGAAACTAGTTTTATTTGTAGATGACATGACTGTTTATACAGAAAATCCTAAGGACTCTACATGAGAACTACTAGAAATAATAAGTGGGTTTAGAGGCCAGCCCCATGGCCAACTGGTTAAGTTTGCACACTCCACTTTGGCAGCCTGGGGTTCACTGGTTCAGATCCTGGGCGTGCACCTACTCACTGCTCATCAAGCCATGCTCTGGCAGCATCCCACTTAGGAGTACTAGAATGATTTACAACTGGGACATACAACTATGTACTGGGGCTTTGAGGAGAAAAAAAAAGGAGGAAGATTGGCAACAGATGTTAGCTGAGGGCCAATCTTCCTCACCAAAAAATAATAACATTAAATGGATTTAGCTATTTCAAATGATATAACATTAACGAATTGAAGGAGTCCATATTGTTGAGTTATCAGTTCTAAATTTGTCTGTAAAGTCAACAGAATCTTAAGCATAATTCTGAGAGGCTTTATTTTGGATAAACTGAATAACTGATATGGATTATCCAAAGAATATTAAAAAGAGAGCAAAACTGAAGGAATTACATCTCCTGAATTTAAGAGTTCCTATCTTGTTATAAAGTTACAATAAACAAGACAGCATAAGGTCAAACACAAGGATCTGTGTAACAGAATATGTGTGTGTCTGTGTGTCAGTGTGTCTATCTGTGTACACAATTTGTTTTCAACAAAATTTTCAGGGTAATTCTCTAAAGAAAGATTTTTCAACAAATTCTAGATGGAAGAATTGGATATGTATATGGAATAAAAAATAAAAATCTTGGCTTTTACCTCACATCATACATAACAATTAACTAAAACTTGATTATTGCCCTAAATATAAAAGTTAAAATTATAAATCTTCTAGAAGAAAATCTTTGTGAACATAGACCAGACAATTGCTTTGTAGACAGGACACATTTTAAAAAGTACAGTTTGAAATTAATCAAAATCAAAAATGTTTCTCTTCAAAAACACCACTGAAAAAATTAAAGGGCAAGTCACAAAATGAGAGAACACATTTGTAAAACATTTCTGACAAAAGACTTTTATCCATAGTAGACCAAAACTCCACTTTGAAAAATAGGCAAATGGTTCAAATAAATATGATGGGGTTTAGGATATGCTATGCCAAAATACGGCATCTTGTCATAGTGAATATTTTAAGCTGAAGGAATTTGAGAAACAATATGTGCAGGGAAGAGTTTCTGACCTTCATCTGAAGCACTTCATAAAACCCTCCATATACCTAGAGGGAAGGAATCTCCTTATTCCCAACGCACCTAGAGCAATCTCAGTAGGCCTTGCTGTTTTCCGCAGTTGACTACACTTAGTTCATATCCTTTTCATCCCATCACATTTTTCCATGCCTCTCCACCTTTGATTGAACTGAGCATTAAAACACTCAGGTTTAACTGCTTCTTTGGGTCTTCATTTCCTTAGGAAGTCTCCTGTGTCATGTAAAACGAATATAAAATAAATTTGTATGCTTTCCTTTGCTTTTGTTCAACTGTCACGTGTTACAGGGGCCCCAGCCAAGAACTTAAAAGGGTAGAGGAAAAAAGTAAGTTTCCTTCCATACAGACATTCCACAAGTGAAGATAAATTATTGCACAGTAAGGGCAAAAAACGATGTCCAACATCATTAGGCATCAGAGAAATACAAATTAAAACCACACTAGTATGCCACTACATACCTATTAGAAGGACTAAAATTAAAAGGGCTGATGGTGCCAAATATTAACAAAAATATTGACAAGAGCTCTCATTAATATTGGTAGAAATACAAAATGGTAAAATCACTTTTTAAAAGTCTTTGGAAATTTCTTTAAAAAACTTATATGAGCATATATTCACAATATAACCCATATTTACCAAAGAGAAATGAAAATGGATGTCCTTACAAAGTCTTGTGTATGAGGATAGCAGCACTTTTTCCCAGATGTAATATAGTTCACTAAAAACATAAAATTCCACAGTATCTGGCACATAGTAACTAATCAATAAATACTATACATCCCTCTTATGGTTGTTATTATAATTACCTACATCTTCATCACAAATGATGGTCCAGAAAGTGTTTGGTACTGTTTGTGATACTTTATAATTTATGTTTTCATAAGAACAGATCTTAAAAAGTATCATTTGTTTAACTTTTCTTACCTCTTCTTTTCTCTGAGCTCCTTAATGTGGGAATTATCACTTTGCCTTTTTTTAATCTATCACTATAAAAACAGTATTATTGAAAGAACGCGTGTACATGCAATGGTGTGCACGTGCACACACACACACATAAAAAAAGAGTTCCTCCCTTAAATTCTGAATGCAGCTAGGGAATTCTAAAAAGACACATGGTAAAAATGATCATCACTGTCTTCTGCAGCGCTTTGACATGTATGTGGCACTAAGATAATCATAAATAATAATGCAACAATTATTGAATCATTATTGGTTTATTCATTTTATGTTTATTGATTGAACTTTGCACCATGTGCACGTTCAGTATTCAGTTAGAGACTTAGGTGCACAACAATTTATTCCCAGAAGTAAAACTGAAGCACCTAGAGAAGCTGGAATATTTACTGAATATTTTTAAAGTGCACGTGTGTAAGCACTAATGTTCCTGTGGTTCTCTTATTACATGATTAAACTTGTTTCTTTCCTTTTTTTTTCAATTTCCACATGAGCTAAGAAGTATTTCTGTGCTGAAAGTACAAGACAGAGCATAGCATACAGGGAGAATTCCAAGCACTGCAAAAGGTATTTTTACCTTTATTTATTATTAATAGTAACAATAAAAATAACTGCAGTTTATTGATCACTAAACCTATAAACACCATTGTGGTAAAAGGTTTATATTATAGCATATTCTTATTCTGTTTTTTTTTTTTTATTTCTACAGATGTGGAAACTAATGTCCAGGGTAATACAAAACTTACTCAAGGTCACATAGCAAGTAAGTAGCAGAACTAAGATTTAAATGCTGACTCTGTTGACTTGCTCTGCATTTCCAAGCAAAGTTTCTAATTCCAGAATATCTTGCAAATATTTTCTTTTCTTCTGTCCTTAAGTTCTCCTCCCTTACTCTCTCCCTCCCTCCCTCACTCTCGCTCTCTCTGTCTCTTTCTTCTCTCCCTTCTCCCCTTCCTCATCTAAGACATTGTCCCATGCTGGTGAGATCAAAGAAAGAGTTTATATTGTGGAATTAATAAAGGCTCTGTCAGATAAACTGGGTTTTCTGTGGGCTGTCAAGAGGAAATAGTCTAAGTGGAGGAAAAATGAAGAGTGGAGCACAGAGATAAATGTGAATGTAGGGCGTATAGGAAGAGAGAACAATCCAATTTGACCTGGATGTAAAACTGATTAGGGTTTGTGGGGAAGATGGGGACATTTTAAAACCATCCCATCACTAACTTTGGCCTGGAGCCTTGATGTGCACAAAGGCTTTGGTTATATCCTTATTCCTGCTGCTCTTGGAAGTAAGAACAATGAAGTGGAGTGGAACGTTCGTTTGATAAATGACATCCTTGTGAGAAAAACAAACCAATAAAAAAGTTTGCTTTACAGGAGATTCTGCACACTTCCCTCCAAGTAAGTTCAAACATCATGAACCTCACCAGCCTATCATTTATAGTCAGGGTATGGCTCTCCAAGGAGGTGGGGTGTGAAAGGGGAAGTGTGTTGTAGTGGTGACACAAATATGTTTAAAAGAGTGGCAACAATTTTCATCAGCTGCTGTGTATGTGTGCAAGTTTTGGAGAATGGACACAATGACTAAAGAAAATGTCTAGAGATCTTCCAAGGGCTATATATATAAAACTTGCGTACTTCTTTTCAAGGAAAAAGAAAAAAAAAAATCACAATTCATATTGCTATTGATTGCCAATCAATTGATTATCAATCAATTCAATCAATGGGACATGTGAAGTCCCATATTTGATTTCTTTAAATATGAATTTGTTAATAGCCTGAGCCATATGGAGTCTGAAAATTATCAGAGTTACTTAAATATCTGCAGGTTTTTATCCCCTCTTCCTTTCTTTCTTCCTTCCATCCTTTCCTTTTGTTATTTAAAGGATATAATCTTGATAGTGTCTCTAGGAATGAGAGGAGGAAGATGAGATGGTAAACAACTCAAGGATAGGTATCAGCAATTTGAGTTTAAGGTTTCAAATATGCTGCTCCATTTTTGTGTGTGCCCTGGATAACATATTGAAATTCAACATGTCTCAGCTTCCTCTGTTAATGGAGGTAGATGAATTCCTGCCATCTTACTGTCACTGTACATTACCTCAGTCCTTATCAAAATTCTCCAAGGTAAGTGCCATTATTTCTTCCATCTTAGAGAAGAGGAAATTGAACCATAGTGAGCTCATGTTACCCCAAAGTGGCAAATTCAGGATGTTAAGCAAGGCCACTGTCTTAAATTGCCTATTCCAATCAGAAAGTCAGAATAATGTAATGATAAAAAGGAGTTGCCTTTGGTGTCACACAAACTTTGACATTACCAAGTCTCTAGTTTGCTGAGTCAATATTTTTAAATATATCACATTGATTGTTTCCTATGCATCAAATGCTCTATCTAAGGAAAATACTCTATGATTTGTGAGTGTAGGGCTGCAGAATTTGCCATCCCAAAATGTGTCCCTTTGGCTTGATTACTTTTAAGAACAAAGGCTCAGGAAGAAACTATGACTTTCCACTAACTGCCTAAAAAAATTTCAGATAGAAGGCCTGTTCCAGGAAGGAGCTATCACCATAGAGAACTATAGTATAGTATGAACTAGGCGAGGTAGACAGGGAGGAACCTAGCAAGGCCCATTTGATCAAAGGTCCTCTCCATGTCCCATTGTCTCTGCAAGGCATGGCAAACATTTGTTTACCAAACTTTTGCTTTTCCATCTCCATGTGAATTGCCCTCCTCCCCTTTGCAGTCTCAAAGCTGAAGATGGTATTTAAGGTTCTGGCTTCAGACATTTTGGTGACTTACTCAGTTTTCCTGGTTTTCTCCCATGTATATATGTTATTAAACTTTTTTGATTTTCTCCATGTTATTCAGTCTCATGCCAATTTAATTCTTAGACCAGCCAGAAGAACCTAGAAAGTTCCATGAAAATTTCTTCTTCCCCTATATCAGCCAATATGATAAATGGAAATGTAAAATGCCACTTGTCATATGAGTACTTTATAGTTTCCAACAGCTGATCTAAGTAGATGGAGGAAAAAAGTAAAACAAACACAATTTGGTGGACATTTCCATATTCTGTTGACCTTGCTTAGACTCAAATGATCACTTTCCATTCAACTAATTGTGCATTTGCAAAGCTGTCTGTCCTTGTAGACATGGTAGGCAGAAAGCTTCACTGTCAAAACAAAGCTACTAGCTGTCTTCTCTGTTATCAACGTTCTCAGCCCTAGCCACTTCAAAAGAAATCAGCACAGTGGCTAGGAAAATGCCCACTGGGAAGCCAGAGGCATAAACCACTTCTCCTTAAATGAGAAAATATGTGACAAATACACCAAGTAAAATTACAAATTAAAATGCCCTTGGCAAGTCTGGAAGTAAAGTAGCAAAGCAGTGTTTCTGACCCTGAGTGCATACTATTTATTTTGAATTAGAAGTATTAAATGTGAGTAAAGAAGATGATAATGAAAATTTATTGAGGACAGAGAATGCATGAGATGGTAAAATGAGCTAACTTTTATTGATTCTGACCAGGTCCTGTTTATTTATATATTTTCTGATGTTATCTTCGTAACATCGCTATGCAAAAAGTGACCATATCATAGCCATTTTACAGAGGGGAGGACTAAATGCCATAGCCAATGATAAGCTTGCTCAAGTCAAAGGACTACTCTTTGGAGAAACACAAGAATCAAACCCAGGTGGCCTCACACTTTAGCCTATGCAATTACGTACTACACCACACATTCTTTCATTTCATATTCATAATAATCTTATGAAATATGTATGATCAATATTATCTATAATGAAGCAAAATTTCAGAGGGGTTGGCTTCCCTGAGTAACACAGCTACTAGCACATCAGAGAAAGAAATGACCCATGAGGTCATTTTTTCCACTAATACTGATTATTCTGAATCACAATTCTTTGTGTTGTTGTTAGGAAATAATTATTCCTCTCTGAAATTAATGCTATGGAAACCTGTTCCTAGGGAGGGGTGGTAAGTAAGATGTTTAGGCTAGAAGGAAGTTTAATTCATCAGTTTCCAAATACCTTAACAATTTCAAAGCCTTCCCAAAAGAACTTTCTACTGCGTTTACATTCTCTTTCAAAGAAACCTCTTATGTGATTAGTGCTTTGTCCCCAAATGACAAGTTGCAAATGAGGCCTTTTCCTTGAAAATGTTTTCAACTTTGGGAAATAATTTATCCAAGCAGGGGACCCTTCTCACTGACCCCAACACCTGGGAACTAGGGAACTTTGATCACCAAGCAATATTTTCTTGCCTTTAAAAGAAATACCACAAAGAAAATTAGCATTGCAAGATTTGTACTGGAAGTACAAAGGAAGAATGTTATTATTCTAAAGCTTTAGTATCTGGCTAGAGGAAGTCATCAAAGGTGATTCAATTCCTCTGGCATTTACATCCCCAGGACTTATACACTGATCTTCAATTAAAAATTGTATCCCTGTCAATTATTGAATCTTAACCTTAATGAAAATGTTTGACAGTAAAGCAATGGGCATTGATGATGAATCTGAAGTGTTCTTGCCATATGGCTAATTGAATATCACATTTGAAATTAATTCATAACCTACAGAACCCTTTTTATGGTGATGGTTATAAGTATGCACATCACCTCTAAACACCGAGTGGGGAAATTTCACTTTCTAGAAGCAGAGCTTTGGATGTATCAGCTCTCTCAAAATCCATACAAAAACAAAAAGTCAGTCTGTATTATAAGGTATAGGGTTCTTCTTTGCTTTTTGGAATATTTACAATTCCAGTAGTATCTCTAAGCTATTGCTAAAGACTATGTCTGATGAAACAAGCACTGGTGTAGTTCTTGATGTTGGAGTGTGAGCAAGACAGACACCATCCCTGGCATCACGGAACCCTCAGACAATTTGTTCTAGCATTTCTTCCTCTTGCAGAAATCTATAAATGGATACTCATGTCAACCATTTTTACTCTAAAACTAAGCACAGGAGGTGATTCTTCCCCAAATCCACTTCCAGAGGAAGTTTGTATTACATCTATTTACTGATATATCCTTCTTACTTCAATAATAGTTTCTAATTATCCTTTTCTCTGGCTAATTTCCAATCAGTCCAATCTCTTGGAAAGAAACTTGATCCAGAGAACCTGAAGACTTTGTAAGTTCAAAAATCATCACTGTATACCTGAATGTGGCATGTCTACACACATGTCCTCAGGTACTATGACAAGCATGGTAAATGTGGTTGGGCATCTGCAGACTGTTATGGAAAACATTATTCATGACATTTGTACAAGGAGGATACAAGGAGGATCACTGTGGTAGGTAGTAGTAGGGACCACTGCAATGCTGTCTTGCCATGGTAGAGAGCGAGTAGGCTCATCTGTGAATACACCATGGACAAGTGAGAGTTTATAGGCAAGGAGCAAGAGTGGGAGTCAGCAGATGGAAAATTCCTAACAGAAACATCATGGGTAACGGGGGATTCCGGCTAAGCTAACCTAACAAGATTCTTGCTGAAGGCAGGCCAGGGAGACCAGACCTCCCCCGGGGGATTGTGGAGGATAAGGAATCCAAGCAGTTATGAAAGATGATCCGATATCGAAGATGGGAGATTCTGGCTAAACTGACTTAGCATGACTTGTGCTAAAAGTGGGTGATGCAGAGATGAACACGGAAGTCCAAAAGTCCAGGCCTAGTTGAAAAAGAGCTTGGAGGAGCCTGAGTAGAGTTTGGTTATGGAGAAAAGCTTTGTCAAGACATAAACCAGTCCTTTCCAATATTTTCACAGATATAAAATGTGGAATGCTCGTGATTTTCTAAGAAATGATCTTGAATTCTTAATGATTATACTACGAGGACGGCTCTGTTATTGGGGTCCTTTTATACCATTTAAATTTCTTAAAGTTTCTGTTGGTCTTGGGTAATTTTTGTATTTCATTTGTGTACTGTCATTTATATTTTAAAAATGTACATTCTCCAATTCATACACAGGGCTAAAAACATTTAAACACCAGCAGAAATTGGAGAGTTACCCTAATTTCTCTTAATCTTGAAAGAAGATAGAGGGGCCTGGCCCTGTGGCCAAGTGGTTAAGTTTGTGCACTCCGCTTCAGCAGCCCAAGGTTTGCTGGTTCAGATCACGAGCATGGACCTAGACACAGCTCATCAAGCCATGGTGTAGTGGCATCCCACACAGAGGAACTAGAATGACCTGCAACTAGGATATAAAACTGTGTACTGGGGCTTTGGGGAGTAAAAACAAAGAGGAAGATTGGCAACAGATGTTACCCCAGGGCCAATCTCCTCACCAAAAAGAAAAAGAAGAAGAAGAAGATGGAGCCCCTGGTCCTCCCAATGCAATTCATCCCTTCCTATCCTCCTCCTCGGAACTGATGTGGCAGATGCACTCTTTCAAGTTACGAAATTCATCAGGCATGGCTGTTCAAGTGATTTATTTAATTCATGACTTTAAGAAATGAACTAAATTTTTGTATAGATCTGCTGACGAGAGTCTGCACTCTAGACCTAGATGTGGGCCTGCCCTGAGAGTTTCCTGAGACCGCAGATGGGAGGGCCTAGCTCAATACCAGCCTAAGATCATTCCAGCTGAAAGCAGGGCTTTGATAAGAAAAATGGCCCCAAAGATATCTAACTATTCAAAGTATCTCTGCTTCAGTGATGTACAGGCTTTCGTTTACAGAAAAAAAAAAGACTAGTATCTTGTGCTAACGTCCTTGAATTTCCTTGAATTTTAAACTGTGAAATAGCCACTTACATAGGTCTTTAATCTGTATTATTTATTTGTATACCCTCCAAATTATTGACAATGGTAGCTGAACATTACCCCTATCTCTTGTAAGTAGGAGAAGAGAATGAGAAGACAGGGTAAAAAAGTAAGAATAAATAAATAAAAGTTAACAAGAGAAATTCCT